AGGGGGGGGGGGGGGCGGTCACTGCCCGGGTGCACTGAGATGAGGGGATGCTCCTATAAGGCCATTTAAGTGGAAACGACAAAGTAATCTAAATAAAACAAGCCACGGAGTTTCTTTTAAGTGGTGAAATAGGGGACAAAGGGGTTTTGACATCAATTAAATAAGACTTTAGAACAGTCAAACAAAAGAAAATTGATTTCTCAAAGTCCAATAAAAAAACAATTAGCTCATCTCTCATTTTCAGAAAGATGAATGATGGAAATTCTCTCAAATTTATGCAACAGGCTTAATTTTGAACCTTAGGAATGAAGGAAGGAGTCTCCTCTCATTCTCTTTCTACATTTTATGTTCTTCAGTTGCTATTCTAAATTCTTTGAATAGCAAAATCAGCCATGAGCTGTGATGATCTGCCTGCATTGAGATACATCTCTACAACTAAAAGTTATGCATACGGCACAGAACTATAAACAAAAAAGGTGAAGCAAACTTTATTTATTTTCAGGTAAAAACATGAACCTGATGAATTATTGCAGATTTGAGAAATCAGCACAGAAAACAACTGGACAGAGCATTGCCTACAGGTGCTTTGATGTGTGTCGAGACAAAGGCTGAGCTGTTTGTCCCGCGTGAGCACTGGGAGGAGGGGGAGAGAAGAGCGGAACAGCGAAAGAAGACACGGAACAAAAACTTTAAACGAGAAAAAGGGGGGGAAACTTTTTCTTTACTCCAACAGGGAATGAAAACTGCTAACTTTGCTTAAAACCGTATACATCAATTCAAAATGCTCTGGCCACAGAATAATAAATACTGGCTAGCCCAAGCTGCAGACTTTTTAACCTACACAAAAGAAACGAATGAGCTCTCCTTGCCTCCATTACAGAGGCTGTGGTTGCCAGAATCACCACGTAAACAGTCCTAGTGCGTCCCTGGTACAAGGCCAGTGATACCCTACAACTATATTAAAACTAAGCTATAAGAAAAGGCTACCTAGTTACAAAGGCTGAATTATATTGACAACATATTTCAATTCCATGAATTTTAAATTATATCTTAATTTGAGAGAGAACAGGGAACAACGAAAGCCCATGGCTGACGAAGATGTACGAACTGTGGGTTCTGTATACAAAAAACCTGTGTGAGCGGCACAGACAGTACACAGATCAGGGCGGGGAAACTCAGGGGAAGTGAAAAGCACACAGAGCTCACCTACTAAACTGTATTTGTCAAATACACGGGAGCTTTAATTTCTGTACTTATGTACAAGAGTTGTCTTTGGAGGAAACAAAACTGCAGACTTAGCTAGATGGATACACACAGCCCAGAATTAAACTGCACAGCGACATTTATTGTTTCAGCCTGGAAAAACATCCCTTTTTTTAAATTTCACACAGCAAAGCAAGTTAAAAACTTCACTCGTCAAATAAATGATAATTTAAACAAGAACTTGCTAAAGAAACCTCATCACAACAACGTTTTAGGGCCTGATCACTTTAAGTCCGTGGGGCCATTAATGAATAGGAACCAAGTGTCTCTTTTATTAATCTGCAAGCCGTTTTCCTACAACAAGAAGGCGTAACATGTTTCCTTGACTCAGGTGATACATTTAGAAAAGAAATCATGATTTTTCTCTTTTGCTGTAACAGGCAGACACTGCATTTGTCGTTGTGATCAGGAAAGATGGAACGACTGCTGCCCTTCCCTCGCTGCCATCAACAGCTTTTCTCGCATTATCTCGATGCTCGAATAGTCCGGCAACTTAAGATAGTTCACACAGGTCATTACGGAGGGCAGGAAGTCGTCTGGGTTCTCTGTTGATTCGAAGGTCTTCCGGACAATTGTCAAAGGTGGATTCAAGCTCCGGAAGCCTGATGAAGAGGGAAGAAAGGAGGACAGAGGAACTTGGCAAGTTTACGGGACGCCCGCCAGCTAGCTCAAGGAAACCCGCCTCTCATCCATGAGGAGAATGGGTCTGGAAGCACAAGTGTACGTACCCTTTCTTATCTGCCCCCATCAGAAACACACTACACTGCTCTAATGCACAGCATTACCACACACAGAGGTACTCATTCCTG